TTTTTACTTTTCTGTTCCAGGAGACATTGCCTGCCCCTTGCATATTTCATCTCTCCCGCTATTTTTATTTTTTTTAAAAACCTTCGCTAAATTATTGATAAATCAAGCGAGCGCTACCCTCCATGTTTCTCTATCACACAGCGTTCCTGTCTTTCTCAAACACAAACTCTCATCTGCACCGCCTTGTTAGACACATTCATTTTTCAGTAAAGACACAAGGTTGTATTCTGCCACAGTGTATATTCTAGTGTGAAGAGAGGAGTGTTCATAAAAATACTTTACATTACTGAAAGTATTACATATAACATGAAGAAGAGTCTTGCTAACATGCTGATGTTAAGCAGGTATAATGTTTATCATGTTTATTGTAGCATGTTGGCATGCTATCGTTTGTTAAATAGCACTAACTTCAAAGTACAGCTGAGGCTAATGGGAATGTCATTAGGTATGTAGGTATTTAAAGCAAGCATGAGCAATAGCCCATTTGCTGTCTTTGGCTGAACTGCCCCTCTGGAGTGTTGTGGCTGCAGAAATACGAGTAACCCATAATTGCTCAAGTCAGACCAAATTAAACTGCCATATGATCCAACCTTTCTTCAACAGGCATGCCTGCAGGACATTGAGATAGAGCGGACCGGAGCCATTTAAAAAAATATTTTAAAAAAGTGAAGCATAATGGTGCACTATGCACCCTGTCATGTGACAATGTAGCACCAAAACTTGTTATTGTTACCGCTATGTGAGGGCTCTAGCTGAGTCTTCAGAAGAGTTGGAAACGATTAACAGTGAATGGTAAAACCAATGGGATGCCTTGTCCCTTTTCCCAAAAAGTCAGACTGAGGACAATTCAAATCCAGTTGTGTCTGTTAAAATCAAAGTAATGTGAATATTTGCTGCTGAAGGTAAGTGTTTCTATGTTCCAAACTAGTTTCCTCCACGATTACACAAAGGAATCCCAGGATGTGATTGGATTGTTGGATTTCAAATTAGTAGGAGGTTGCCTACAAAAGTAATAGTGCAACTAATCATTTAGGAGGAGAGTAAATGTAATATTATTACAGAAATGTATTTGTAATTAGTTACACGACTAGTTGAAAGTAATGCTAATACTGTAATATTATTACTTGTATTAATTACTGCCCAACACTGGTCCCCGATTTAAAGTGACGAGTATCACCAAAACGTATTACAGTTCATCCTGAGGGGAATGGCAATATATGTACCAAATTTCACAGCAAGACAATACAAAAATGTCCACTTCAACTTCATAGTGTCACTAATTGCAAAGTTAGGGGATCACCAAAGTCAGCAGGATTCATCCTCCAGGAAACATGAATGCCTGTACAAAATGCAGTCCATCTACTGGCTGCTGAGATATTTAGGTCACGATCAAAGTGGTGGATCAACTGACTGACATCACCATCTCTAGAGCCACAACACTAACGTGCTAAAAAAAAGTACTTCTATAATTTTGGGAAAAAACTCTTTTAATAATCAAGACCTTTAGAACTCGGATGAACAAATTTAGCTTAACCGCTCTCCATCAGTCAAACCTCCTCAGCAGGAACTGCACTTCTGTGATCTCACCGCTCCTTTGTCGTCATCTTTCTCTCCCCCTTCTTACTTCACTCACTTGATCTTTTTTTTAAATCTTTTTCCCTACTGGTCTACTTACTGTCTTTTGTGTGAGTGTGCAAGTGTGTGTGTGTGTGTGTGTGTTAGTGCCTGACTTCCCTCTGGACCAAAGGCTGCACGTGATTTAGCTCTACATGTCTGGTTTTCCCTCAGCCTCTATCCAGTTCTCTTTCCATCTGTTTCCACCGAACCTTCGCTCTTCATCTCACAGACAAATATGTGTCTTTTTACTCATCTGTTTCTCTTAATGTCTCTTCATCCATGTTAATGTCATTGTGAGTTCATCCTCGTCACTTTCTGAGACCTTTTCTCTCTTCATTTTTTATCGTCTCTTTATTCCCAACACTCCTTTTTCTATACGTCTCTATTAATCCCTTCTCCGTCATCTTTATGTAAAGTCTCCATCTTTTCAGGTCCTAATCATCTTTTTTTCTGGCTTTAATTCAAACATTACTTAACAAATACATTGTGTCATCACTGTTTCTCTAATTGACTGAAATAAAGAATTTTATTAATTTTATTTATTTATTTAATTTTTTATCAGGCGGTCATTATGTTCATTTTTTAATCCCTCTGACATTCCTCTCTCCCTCATGTCTTCCTTCTGTCTATTTTCTCTTTCTTTCTGTTTCATTCATTTCTTCTGGAGAGCCACAGGCCTTAACCCACATTGCATGCATACACACTCTTTATACAGTATATGTATTCTTTTGATCTGCATGTGTGTGACAGTTTTAATGGAATGGATTTCTCACGGTCCAGATAACGTTTTGATTTTATCACTGTCCTGTAAACAGTAGTAGTACTTATATATAACCCTGCATATTATCTCTAGGTCTATCTTAAGGCAGTGACAGTCCATTACAGTACAGTACTGTGAACAACCGTACTCCCTAAAGACCCTGAAGGCGTCATGCTGCCTCAAAGTAAATACAACACGAGTCATTCTCAATCTGCCTGACTGACTGACTTACACGCATCTTTGCTTCTTTCTGTCTTTTCTTTATCTGTTTCTTCCCTCAATTCTTCTTCCTTCTGCACCTCTTTCCTGCTTTTTATCTGTCCGTACACACTAGTTTCCTTGCTTTTTCATACCCATAATTCCTTCTTATTCCTTCCTTTTGATTTCCTTCATGGGCCTTTTTTCCCTCATGTAGTCCCTCTCTGCCCTGTATTCTTATATATCTTCTTGACATTCTCCTGTGTTTTGACTTCCCTCTTTAAAACCTCCCTTCATCCTTCCTCACGTACGTCCCTCCCTTCCACCCTACATACCTAATGTTATGCAGAATTCCTCAATTACATACTCCCTGAATTATTTTCTGTCCTCTTCCCTTTTTAACCTCCTTACTTCCTTCACTTATGTGATTTCCTTTCTTTCCTTTTCCATTGCTTTCTCCCTTCCTTCTTTTCACCTCTAAGCCTGCGTCTAGATCGATGAAGGGGAGGTGAGAGAGCAGTCGGCCTTTACACTCGTTTCATTGTGGCATGAGCAGAATCACTTTAGAGGAAAGAAAGAAAGCATAACCGAAAGCGATGTCTGTGTTTTGTGATTCTGCTTCTCTTGAAGCTTTCACTCTCTCCCATTCTTTGCCTTTTTGCCCTTGCTTGATCTATATTCTTTATTTTCATTTTTTTTATCTTCCTTCTGTCTATTGCCTGTTCTTAACCTTCCACTCTCATGCTTTCTTCCCCTCTTCTATCTCCATTTTTTGCTCATTGTATGTCCAGCTCTAAATATTTGTATCACCCTTCATATTTCCTTCTTGCTATCCTATGAACCAAGTATCATTGAAAAAGGCCTGTTTGGTCTCTGTTTCACTCATTTAACAGCTAATGGACTGTTGGAGGCCACGTTACATTGGTTTCAAAGTGAAATGGTGACTTTGTGAATGTAAGTCTGTCTTTTGGAATAATAAGAAATAAGAACCTAGTGAACATTATGGCACTGAGAAAATGTTTGTCTATCTTAAAGGTCCAGTGTGTAACATTTAGGGGGCACTTTGGGCAGAAATGGGATAATTGTTTGCTTCGTAACTTATAGCGAAGCTCTTAATGTTTCCCAGTTTCAGTGGTTGCTATTGCATTTTTTTATTGGCATGTTTACTGGGAAACAGTTTGTTAGCAGTTAGCATATAGCATGTGTTTGACAAAGCAAGTTGGAAGAAGCACTTTTGTCATGTTTTGTTGCTTGTGCCACAGAGGAATGCAACATAAACTCCTGTGTTGTTAAAGTTCTCACCAGGTATTTCTTTTGAATCTATGCTCCAATAAGTAGCATAAGGAATCTATTTTGTGGACATGTGTGTCAAGTACAGGCCTGAAATACTGCACCTGTTGATTGCATCATTATTTATATCACGTAATTTATTCAAGTTACTAAATGTGCAGCATAAACTAGGGTACTTTTTGTCAGGAATTTAAAGCAATGGCATAACAAATGTATATTTAATAACAGAGCTCAAAGTGATGGCAGAGGAGAGAGTAGGCAATGGTCTTGCATTTCCTTCTAGTCACATAAGAATAAATAAATGACTTACCCCCGTCAGATATGTTGTGCATGTTTGTTTGTTTGTGAGAGATTTTAAATAACTTTTTCCTTACATGTTTCCGGCCATTTAAGTAAAGAATAAGTTATACAAAATGAATCAAATTTCAATTTTGTAATAAGTGTTTGCTTTCTTTTCCATATTATGAAGACGAATATGAGCCGATAATTAATGTTTAATGAGTTAAAAATGAATTAAATTAATGAATGCAAAACCTATTTTAATGAAATTACAAATTAAATTACTATTGTAAATAAATGGAATGAAACTAAATCAAGCTCAGGTACAGAGATGTATATGAACGTATGAAGCATAATACCCACAGAAAAAAACAGCTTTGTGAATAAAAGCAGGATTTAATAGGAGGACAGATGGCGTAGGAGGTATGGAGGGGGCAGAGGTAGTGCTATCACAGACAGAAAGAATTTTTTTTTTGTAAAAGAGCAAAAAAGAAAAAAATCTGAAATTAAACATAGGCCTATAAACACAGATTATGACAAAAGAGTAAGAACTGAGAATAGAGAGTGAATTCTTCAGAGGAAAGAGAAAGATGAGAGCTCCAGGTCTAAATGCATCCACACAGTAAAGAAGAAGTAATCCAACAGTGGAGTGAATAGTATTTTATATTTGTGCTGACTGGTATCGATTGTCTGGGAGGAGCTGATTCTGAATTTGTCTGTGTGTGAGTACAGTTGTTGTTCTTAAATGTATGTTGTTAAACACGTTTTGCTTGCTGAAATACATACACGCGTGTATCTGTGTGTGTGAGACTTTGTGTGTACACTGTGCTGCATGTATGTGTAACACTCCTCTTACCTCCACCAGATGTGGCGTGGGGTTGAAGCCACACAGGTTACACACTTGGCTGTGACACTGCGTACAGGTGTTGTAGTTGGGCGGGTCGGTGCTGCCGATGTTCAGCTCCGTTTTACAAAGAGGACAGTTCACTTTAGGCTTCACAGGCTCTGGAGCAGGTACAGGAGCCACCACGGGCACTTTCTGCAGATGAGCAGGGCTTTGCTGATGCTGTTGTCCTTGCAGCCCTTTTTGATGATGCGCGGGTGACTGCTGCTGGGGCATTCCTTGTTGCTGGGGCGTGGTCTGCTGCTTCTGCCCACCCATTTGGGGACCTCCCATTTGGCTCGGCGCGTGAGGACCCCCCATTTGGCTCGGTGGATAAGGCCCTCCCATTTGGCTTGGTGCATGAGGGCCTCCCATTTGACTCGGCGCGTGAGGACCCCCCATTTGACTCGGCACGTGAGGACCCCCCATTTGGCTTGGTGGATAAGGGCCTCCAATTTGACTCGGCGCATGAGGACCCCCCATTTGACTCGGCGCATGAGGACCCCCCATTTGACTCGGTGCATGAGGACCCCCCATTTGACTCGGCGCATGACGACCCCCCATTTGAGTTGGAGCATGAGGACCCCCCATTTGAGTTGGAGCGTGAGGGCCCCCCATACTGAATGGTTTGGTGCCAGGGGCCCCTTGTTGTTGCTGCCTGTTGTCAGGGGTTACATTACTGAACACTACCTTGCCTCGTGCAGGGCTTGGCTGGGTGGAGGCAGTGGGTAGAGGGTCAACATTTATCAGGGTACTAGCCTGATTGAGCAGCGATGCCCCAAAGCCAAACAGTTTGGTCAGGCCGTCCTGGGCAGGTGGAGGGGCCTGACTCTGAGGTCTGTGGGCCGGGGAGGAGCCAGCACTTCTGGTCTGGTCATGGTGCCGCGCCATAGACTGGTGCATTGGAGAACCGCGACCCAAATCAGGCTGGGAGGGAGCCTTGGTCAAGCCAGGGAGGGGCACAGCACCAGGATGGGGAATCCGTGGACCACCAGGCTGGTTGGGGCCTCCTACAGGACCTCCAACAGCTCCTGGAGCTCCGGGACCTCTCTGGGAGTACGGGTCGGACCTCATGCCCTGCTGAAAGGGCCCCGTCTGAGTCTGGGGGCCGCCAGGACCTGGGTGTCTCTGCAAGCCTGGGGAGGTATGAGGCTGACTCTGGGGCCCTTGCTGGGACGCAGGATACGACTGGAGCTGAGACTGGGAGTAGGGTTGCGACTGGGAGTAGGGTTGCGACTGGGAGTAGGGTTGAGACTGGGAGTAAGGTGGAGTCTGGCCGTAGGATTGAGACTGGGAGTAGGGTGGAGTCTGGCCATAGGGCTGAGACTGAGGCTGCTGCTGCTGCTGCTTCTGCTGCTGCTGCTGCTGCCGCTGGGTTGGCTGACTCTGCGCCAAAGGTTTGGGCTGTGCTGCTGCTGCCGGTTGTGTTGGCTGTGTTGGCTGAGGTGCAGGCTGCTGAGGCTGGACGATGGGTTTGGCTTGGTGGGACGGAGAGTGAATCTGCTGTTGGCTCTTAGAGCGAGGCGTGGTCATATCAATGCCAAGAGCTCTCTGCATCTGACAATTCAGACATAGCCACTCCTGGACCTGCAGACAGAAAACACACAGGTTTAATGTTATTTTAACCTCTTTTGGTACTTCCAGTTTTCACACATATATCCTGTATCAACTTATTCCAACTCTACATTAAAAGGTACAGTATATGTTTACAGTGAGCGTTTTTATGACTGTACCAATACATCAAATGGAACAGCCTGACATATCTTGTATCTTTGGGATCTTCACTAGATTTTAAGCTTCTGTTGGTTTGAGCAATGCTTGGCAGCACAACATGTGTTTGTACTGAGTGAGTCCATGAGGTTAAAGAGGTTATGACTGTTGTAAGTTTGCTTTATCGATGTAAGAAAAGTCTGAAACCAGTTAGAGGAAACAAATGAAAAGAAACAAAAAGGAGGAAAAGAAGGAATAAATTTCTGTAAAGATAGAGAACAGTAAATATATAAAACCACACTATGATTTATTAATTTTCTCTTTCAAAGCAGATTGCTATTGATTACTTGAAATATCATTGCTGACTCAGACAGGATGCACAAGCGTCTCTATTCATCTAAACCACATGGACACTGTATTCATTCGGCCAACTTCAAAGCTGCCGATGAGAGAGAGAGTGCATTTAGATGGCTACACATAGAATATGGTCCATCTTTCTTCCCATGGAAAACAGAAGCGTAGAGAGAATAGTTGTAATCAACCAGAAATAGAAGGAGAGAGAGGTAAATCAACCACAAATTGACTGCAGCGCTGAGTGATTGCTGAGCCGAAACCGCAACCTGAGTGAAAAGCATTACATCTCTCACAGACACACACACATATAAATCCAAGCGGGTACACAGGTATGCACACACATCGAAATCAAGTGGAGACACAAGCTAGACACATACAGACACACAAAGTCAAATGAAATGATTCTGAAATACGCCTCAGCATCTAAAAATAAAAATAAAACATCACCCCTCCTCCTCCTCCTCTTCTCCTGTCTTCCTCCTTCTTTCTCTTCTTCCTCCAGATGAGAGCTGATACTCCCTTGTGTCCGGACCTTGCTTGGCTCTCTAATTTCTTCCGACTGGAAAAAACACACAGCTCATATCTGAACTGTGTCAACCTGCTCTCGTCCTGTCTGTCCTGCTGTAGCTTTGCATCCACCACAGCGACTCAGCTGCCATAAATAGGTCTATTTTAGCTCCTCTGCAACCAGAGCAAAGCTAGTAAATCTCTGCACGTTCCGTTTCTCCCATCCCCTTTCCTTCCCATAATGCAATGCGCATACGTACTGTATCACCCCACCCGCTATCCACTGAAACCCCCCCGGATTTTTTTTTTTGCTACAGGACAAGGTGGCTCCTTGAATTTGAGAGAAGATGTGGAAAGCACAGGGAGAGGAAAGGAGAAAAAAATGCCTGCATCAGTCACGTACCCTAACTAAGCAGTTCCTCCCACTGTGCTGTCCCAGCCTGCTTTGCTGTCTGGCATTTTCTAGCTTGACAGCATCACTGATCCCATGTTCTGTTAACTCAGCTGCTACAGCCACTGCTACAGCCTGACATCCCCCTTTCCTCCTTAACATATTCTCTTTGTAGCTGTCTTTCCTCTTCTCTCTCCTTCTCCTATCCCTATTTTTTTCTCCCCCTCACATCCACTCTCTTTTCCCCGCTATATTTCCCTGCTCTCTTGGTTTCGGTCTTTACCCCCATTTTTCTGTTCTCTCGCTCTGATCACGTTGAAAATGTAGGTCTCATTCCTTGAATAGCTGAAGCGGAAGGAGATTTGAAAGTATAATTTTGCTGTGCAGGCTCCTCCCACGTTGTGCTGCCATAATTACAGCTGATGAAGATGGCGAGAGGGAGATGAAGGGAGGTAGATAGGGAGAAGGAGAAAGGGGGAGCTGATTTAATGAGTCCCTGTCTATCCTTCTACTTTATAAGCAACATCACAAGAGACACTCAAAGGAATGAGGGATAGAGCAAGGGATGGAGGGATAGGAAAGAGCAGCGAGGAGATGGAGAGGGAGCGAACAATGGAGGGAAAAGAGTCAGCAGTTTTTTAATCCAGGCAGCTCCTCAGCTCTCATCATGTCAAGCTTAATCAACAGCATAGCGGCACAGAATATCCACTTCTGCTTCACTGTGGTTAAAACCAGCAAATCCTTCACACACCTGAGTCCTGTGCTAACAGGTGAGGAATACTCACATTGCTAAGGGTTTGTTCCATGAGTCAACTCACCAAGTTATGAAAAAATAGATTTTTCTCAATTACCTCGGGCAGTATCTAACCATACAGATAGTTTTTGTTTGTTTTTTTGTCCAGGTTGTGACATGTCAGTCTCTGATGTTTATGCCCAAGTACAGTGGAGGTAAATGGAATCTCATTTGTGTTGCTTACAGCATTGAAATATTATATTCAGTCCTCAAAATTCAATAGCAACTTACCTTTCCAGTACCACATACTAATCTGCAAACAGTTTTCATAGGGACTACTTTTTTGGTAAAAAGTGTTTCCAGAAGTATTCAGATTTATTGGAGTGGCAGTGGTAGAAATCTCTAAACATGGACAAATAAAACCAGCACTATCTGCATGGCTGGATACTACAAGATCAAGTAAGATTTGTATTTATGTATCTATTTTTAATTATTTGGGTGATCTGACTCTAAACTATTAACCCTAAAATTATAAACCTATGTGCTTTGTTTGCCTGTAATACTGCACCTGAAGTTTGCATCCAATTTAACCCCTTTTTTTTTTTTTTTTTACCAAAAACTTAAAATAATGTCATAACAAATGTATAATATATATTAAAATAGTAGGTCATTATACCTTAGACTCTGTAGTTATATATCTGAACTGTATGCTGGTTATTGAGAGTTAAAAGTGTACACGCATTTATGGTGCAGCATGTATGACATTAGGCTCATAAGTCGTAAGAGCCATGACATAATACAATCAGGTGATATAATATGTGGACTCACACAGAGCTACAGCACAAAGCCAAACTTACAGTAGATCAACAGTTATTTCTCACTTAACCTTTAACCAAGGCGTCTAGCTGTGATGAAAAGTGCCTTTTACAAGAGAAAGTTGGCGTGTAGCAACTGAAAATGTAACAACTGCCAGTTAATGCAACACCTAACCCTGGAGGACAGTGCTACAAGTGAGTGGGTGAGGATGAAAGACATCTCAACTGCAAAGGTTACACAAACTTGCTCTAAAGACCAAAACACAAAGCAGTCAATATTTAGCCTCTCTCACATGAGTTTAACATTAAAATGTGTCTTTACTACAGCAGACATTTTGACTTGTCATGCTATAAAAAAAACAGGTGTCACTAATAATCTTAATGATGGCTTAGTTCTATTCAAGTGCCCCAGTAAGCTATAACAGTGTGACAGTGAGCTAACATTAACAGTGACATGACCCAAACAGAATTTAGCTTACGGTACATTCAGCTGCTAAAACATAAAATACATTTCTGTTTGAAGATGGAGCTCAATTAAGATCACATAATTATACACCAGCCTGCAGCCTGAGAAAAAAATCCAGACAGACAACATCCAACCTTGTTTATGAGCAATCACCATCACCTGACCCTCCAAAAACAGCCTCAGGCCCATTGCAGCACCTTGACCCAGATGTTCAAAACCACAGCTCTGACAGAGACTGATAAGCCTGTCACAGGGCGTCTTTGACAGGTGTCTTATGTACCTTAAAGCTTTAGAGCACAGGTGTCACCTCAAGTTATAACCCATTTACTACTCTGTGTGTATGGATCACAAGCCAGTCAGTTGGTGTGTCGGCTGTCGGCCAGGCTCAGGCAATTTTCAGGCCTGTGGAAGTTATTACAAGAACAAATGGCTGCAAATATCTTTTCTGAAAGGAGGAAAATGAGCCCTGACATTCTCCACTGATGCTGACTCTGCACTCTCCAGCAGGAAGAAATGTAAAAGAGAGGGAAACCAGTGCCCCATTTTCAGTAGTAGAAGTAGAAAAAAGTTTTCAGAAAAACTAATTTCTACAGAAGCAAATTTATGCCTGTTTTTGTATAAGTGTATTCAAAGATTCATAATGATTTAGGCTTAAATCACAAAACCATGGTTAATTGCTTCAAATAAAGAGGAAATGTGTACCATTAAATGTCACAACTGGAATTGCAAAAAATCCGGCTGAGACCAAAAAACTATATTTCTGAAACTTCCCCCAAATGCATTCCTCTTAATAATAAAACAAATGACAGTAAAATCAAAAAACACATTAACATTCCTTTTTACTGCAAAAGGGATGGCTACATGTTATTTCAGTTAGACACACAAACACACACACACACTGCAGACCATGACTGTCGCCTCTCACTTCCAGCTTATCCTAAGTAGCTCAGCTCTCCTCAAACCTGCAGGACTCTGATTTCCTCGATCACATTTCAGTTTGTTCTTTGTCGCTGTCACTCTACACACACACTCGCACAGACACAGTCAACCACCCAATCTAACACACACACACACACACACACACACACACATAAACACACAGGTCTGAGCATGTTCTTCTAACAATCATTGACTTGGAGGTCAAGTCTATCTATTCAAGAGGCAGAACTCTGTCGTTATTGTATGTCTCTATCACACACACACACACACACAGTAATTAATCAAAAGTGCACTTTTAGAGTTTCATGGTTCAAAGTTAGTGAGTTTTAATACAAACTAAAATAAAGTCATAAAGTCAGTGCAAGAAGAGTGACCAGACAAAGAAAGTCCATTTAAAAGATGCAGTGTTTTAACAGATTAGCAGAGTGGAGAGTTAAACAGTTACGCCAACTGCAAAATCTTTGAAAATAGTTCAAATATGACAGCCCATATCATGTAGTTTTACTTTTGAGTAGTAAAGGCGAGTGGACATTGCATGGAGCAGAGTTCACTGTGACTCTAATCTAATTGGTCATTAATTAGCGTGGACACACAGAGAAAGGAGCGGAGAGGAAGCGGGGGAACCAAGATCCAATAAAAGAGCTAAAACAGCAAAGAGAAGGAAATCTATGA